TTTGGTAGAGGAAACTTGACGTCTGTAGATATCGGTTCAGTGGTTTATAATCAATTACCAGTCTGAGTTTCCTCTTGTTTGTTCTGCCCGGTTGTTCACATAGAATGCTTTACATGCCCAAGGTGAATTTGTTGATGAGACAACTCCTTGTTTCACTAGTTGGTCACATTCTTCATTTGCTTGTGTCAATAATGTTGGCGGCATGCCTGCGTGACTTGCTTTTGTCGGAGTGGTATGGACATTTTCCTTGAAAGGTAGAGAGACGAAGAATTCTGAATTCAGCCATAACGGTTTGTCACATTTTTTAAGGAAGTCTGTGTGAGAGTCTGCACATGAGACTATTGCGATCTCTTCTTTGATTTTCTCGAAATCTTGAGATATGACTCCTTCGACCGTGAATAGACGTGATATTGTTGTAAAAGCTTTGTAGAAAGCCTTCTATCTCATTCCTCGTGTCTCAATAGATATATCAAAATTCTTCTTGAAGGTGTGATAGGAATCCCATCCTAATATCAAATCTTTTCCTGGTGCTGAGGATCCAAACACTTCTGTCGTAATCTGACAGCCTGAGAAAAGTTCGATCGTCACCGGTTTGGATTTGAGATTGACCGTCAATGAACCCGAGTTTGCCACTCGAAATTCTTGTTGATGTGGTAGCCACATAGAAGATGGGAGAATTTTAGGGTTCATTATCGTCGTATATGCTCCAGTGTCGATGAACGCAATTGCATGAACTGGCTTCTCTTTTTGTGATGGATCAAATATCGTAACTGGCAGATGTGGTGTTTGAATTTCTTTTTTTTGTGGCATACGAGTGATTTTAAAACAGCAGTCGTTATTGACTTCTTCTTCTCCTGAGGAGGAGTCGGATGAGTAGTCATAATCCGAGTATCCACATATGGCATCTTGTTCATCACTGTCATAGGATAGTACTGATTCTAAATCGTGGCTGTCGAAATCGAGGTCTGGTGCGATCTTCGAGATTGAGCTGATTAAGTACTGCTTCTTTTTCTTCGACTTGTTTGGGCAGTTTTTTGCGAAGTGACCTTCTTTGCGACATAGGAAACACTTCGTTGTTTTCTTGAAGCTTCGTTTCTTTCTGAAAAATCGCTTGCGTCTGAATCTTGTGAGACGGTTTTCTGAATCTCCTTGATTTCCTACGATCATCACACGAACATGTCTTCTTGGATTTTGAACAATTGATGGATAGATCTGGTCTTGCACAGATCCTGGATAGTTGCTTTGATTTATCCATGAATTCCATCCAAAACTCCTTTTGCTTGCAGAGTTTGTCTAGTGTTCGGAAGACATATTGCTGTATTTGGCCAATGGAAATATCTTCCACTGTCTGACCTTGATCTCTTATGTATAGCTTCGTTTGTTGACTGAGGTAGTCATCAATCGAAGAGAGATGCACCTTCTTAAGGCTTGGATTGTTGAGACCATTAAGAGCGTAATAACGTCGCGTCTGTCGCTCAAAATGCTTAGCTAGGTCTCTTTTCTTCAATGAGCAGCATTTCGCAGTAAAGAATTCTTCTTGAAGCTGTTCTTTCAAATGTGTAGGTGTACCGATAAATTCTCTATGAATTTCTCCGAGAAGTAGCGGTATTATCATTTGATAGACTTGCTGCTGTCTGTATTCACCAAGTGAATTCCACCATTCTTTGAGTGCTCCAGATAGTCGCGCCGTAAACTGCTGAATTACAAGCTCTAAGGGAGACGTGATTGCTTCAGAATTCATCCATGCATGAAATTCATCGAGACGATCATTCCATTTTTCAAATTCAAAAGGAATGTCATCAAACGTGAAGACCATGACTTTAGAGGCAAATGGTCTTGTTGGTATTTCTTGCTGCCTCGGAGGCCTGTACTCCATATCTTCATCGCTTGAAAAGATTTCATGTATATCAGGTTCTCGTTTTGGAGTTGATGGTTCGCCTCTTTCGTCGCCTATGGCAAATTGGTTTGGGAGAGATCTCATCCGAAGCTGA